CAGCAGACATGGCGCAGCCAAATAAATAAATAAATAAATAAATTTTTTAAAGCGCATTGAGCTATCACACATGTATTTGCATGGCTAAAATTAGGCATACCAAGTGTTGGTGAGGATGTGGAGAAACAAACTTTTCTACGTTGCCGGTGGGAATGCAAAATGGTGGAACCATACTGGGAAACAGTTTGGCAATTTCTTTGAAAGGTTAAACACGCACCTACCATATGCCCCAGCCATTCCGCTCCTAGGCATTTACTCGAGAGAAACAGAGCATATGTCCACACAAAGACTTGTCCGTGAATGTTTCCTGAAGCCTTATTTGGAATAGCCAAAAACTAGAAACAACAACACTTCACAGGTGAATAGGCAGACAAGTTGTGGTTCATTTCTGAAATGGAATACCACTCCACAATAAAAAGGAATGAACTACTGATACACACAGAAGCCTGGATGAATCTCAAAATAATTACGCTGAGTGAAAGACACCAGATCAGAGAAAAGGACAGCTTTTCCTTGACTTACAATGGGATTATGCCCAATAAACCCATCATAAATTGAAAATACTGTGAGCTGAAAATGCATTTGCTACACCTAAACTACCGAACATCACAGCTGACCCTCGCCCCCCTCAAATGTGCTCAGAACACCAACATCAGTGGGCAGTGAGGCAAAATCATCTAACACAAGCTCTATTTCATAATAAAGTGTTGACTATCTCACGTAACGGATTAAATACCATACTGACAGTGAAAATCAGAATGGTTGTCTGGGTCCAGGATGCTTGTTCACCCTCGTATCGCGGGCTGACTGGGGACTGCGCTCGCTGCCGCTGCCCGGCATCACGGAAGAGGACCAGACTGCATAATGCTAGCTTGGAAAAGCGCAACGTTCAAAATTTGAAATATGGTTCCTACTGAATGTATATTGCTTTCACACCATCATAAAGTAAAAAAATCGTAAGTTGAACCATCATAAGTTGGGGACCATCTGTCTATGTAATATGACTCCATTTATACAAAGTTCTAGAAAGGCAAACTAATCTGCAACAGAAAATGGATCAGTGTTTGCTAGGGATAGGAGGGCTGAGGGGAGGGAGGACTTACAAAGGGGTAGAGGAAGCATGGGGGATAATAAATATTTCCATTATTTTGATTGTGGTAGTTTTACTGTTTACATACATGTAAAAACTTATTTCATTGTCACCTTATGTGCAGTTTTAAACTTAATTATACCTCAATAAATCTGTTAAAAAGTTCATATATATATATATATATACCAAATAAAAGTCACTTAGGCACCTAACATAATAAGACACTTCTCTCATTCTAAGAGAAATACAAACGACAACCACACTGAGCTGTCTCATACCTTACCCATCAGACAGGCACAAATTGAGAACACCGCCTACCTCCTCTGATGGTGAGGCCGTGGGGAGACAGGGACTCGGTGCGCTGCTGGTGGCAATGCAAAAGAGCACAAATCCTCTGGAAGGAATTTGGCAATCTGCAGAAAGATTACCTATGCATTCCCATGTCTTGTAATTTATCCTAAATGTATATCTACAGCAATTTTTGTAAAAAACCAAACCCTACATACACAAGCAGATTCATTGCATTATTATTATTATTATTATTACTATTACTATTATTATTATTATTTGGCTGTGTTGGGTCTTCGTTGCTGCGCACAGGCCTTCTCTAGTTGTGGCGAGTGGGGGCTACTCTTCGTTGAGGTGCACGGGCTTCTCATTGCGGTGGCTTCTCCCGTTGCGGAGCACAGGTTCCAGGCACGCGGGCTTCAGCAGTTGTGGCACGTGGGCTCAGTAGTTGTGGCTCACAGGCTCTAGAGCGCAGGCTCAGTAGTTGTGGTGCACGGGCTTAGTTGCTCTGTGGCACATGGGATCCTCCCAGAACAAGACTCGAACCTGTGTCCCCTGCATTGGCAGGCGACTCCAAACCACTGCGCCACCAGGGAAGTCCCTCATTGCAGCGTTATTTGAAGTTGCAAAATACCAGAGATCACTTACATGTCCATAAGAAGTGATTGATGTACTAAGCGACAGCCCATTCCCACGGAAAATAAGGAAGACTGCTGTGATATTCAAGACACAGTATTGGGCTTCCCTGGTGGCGCAGTGGTTGAGAGTCCGCCTGCCGATGCAGGGGACACGGGTTCGTGCCCCAGCCCGGGAAGATCCCACATGCCGTGGAGCGACTGGGCACGTGAGCCATGGCCATGGCCGCTGGGCCTGCGCGTCCTGAGCCTGTGCTCTGCAACAGGAGAGGCCACAACAGTGAGAGGCCCGCGTACCGCAAAAAAAAAAAAAAAAAAAAAAAAAATTCTGGCTGGACTATTGCTTGCTCCAGCCATTATCATGGCCTCAGGCAGCTGAGATACAGGCCTCTACCCAGTTGTTTGCTACTGTGACTGCAATTGTTCTTTGGGGCTTTCCCCCTCCCCCAATCAAGCCAGCTCTCTCCAGTGTCTGTAGGAACTTGAGGTCCTCAAGGCCTACCTGGCTCTGGTGGAATTACCATGGGGAGGGAGGAAATAAAAATAGTTCAATACTAAAACTCCACAGACTCCCATTGTTCTTCTTACAGATGTTCAGTACTTTTTTTTTTAATAAGTGCTTTTCAAATATTGTATGCCTTTGGTCAACTTCCAGAGTCCTGGAATGGTTGCTTTTAACAGTTCTGCCCAGTTTTATCACTGCTTTTTGGGGATGGGATTTGGTGAGCTCCTCAATCTGCTATTCCAGAAATCCCACCCACATACATAAATATAAATTTTCTAGTAGCCAAATTGAGAAAGATAAAAAGATAAAATTATTTTCTATAATGTATTTAACCTAATATAAAAATATTATTTCAACATGTCATCAATATTCTTTAAATTATGAATTCTTTTACTTTTGTTTCCTACTAAATCTTTGGAATCTGGTGTGTCTTTTTACTGTTACAGCACGTCTTAATTCAGACAAGTCACATTCGAGCACTCAAGATATGACAGCTGGCTGCCATATTGGACACACAAGGATCGATATTTGATATTAGGAAATTGTTATTTTTCAGGTGTGTTAATTATATTGTGGTTGTTTCTCTAAAAACTCCCGTCCTTTGGGTATGTTGAAATACTTAAGGATGAAACGATACAATGAAACTTGGTTCTGCCAGAGGAAGAATTTTCCCTCTTCCCTTTTGGGACTGTGCTTGGAGGTCCTGAAAATTAAACTGACAAAAGACAGGTGAACAGGAAGAAAGCAAAGTGTATTCACACCCTCTGGCGGGTACAGAAGACGTGCACGCAGTAATCAGAGGTAGGGGTTTCTGTACCTAAGGTAATAGGAGAAAGGGAGGGAGGGGAAAGAGAAGACCAATCGGTTTCTTTAGGAAAGAGAAGCGGGTGTTTAGGGGAACAAGCAGGAGGTAAGTTTGTGATCATATTTACTAAGCAGGTGACTCGCACGTCTTGGGTTTAAAACGAAGAATTCTGTGGGTCTGGGCAGTCGAGCGTCGCACGATGGGGACCAGGAAGTTCGCGCAGTGTTTGCCTTCCGCGATAAAACGGCGATATCGGTCCTTCGAAGGTTTTTACGAGGTTCCGCGCGCTGGGCCGAGGCGACTTTAGGGCCGAGACTAGGACTTTAGTTCCGAGCTCCTCTGCGGGGAAAGAAGGGAGCTCAAGCCGGGCGATACCCGCCGAGAGCGAGGTGTGACTCTCGGCGGTCCCTGCCCGGCCCAGCCCGGCCCGCCCCCCGCGAACCCGCCCCACCGCGCCGGGCGGAGCCAACCTCCGCCCTGCGACCCCCCGACCCCGCGCACCGCCCCTCCGCCGACGGGCGCGGTTTCCCGGGGACGCATTTCTCGCCGCACCGCGGGCTGCCCGGACCTCCCTGGTGGAGCACCTTCCGGCGGGACCCAGCGCGGAGTTCTGGGCTCGGCTGCGGTCCGGCGGCAACCCGGGTGTGGCGGCCTCAGGACGCGGCGCGAGCACAGGAGCCGCACCCCGCGGGACCCCGGCCGCACACCCGGAGCTCCAGGCCGCCGCGCCCCCGGCTCCGAAGGGCGTAGCTGCGTCGGGAGGAGCCTCAGCCTGGCTCGGGCGCTCAGGTGGCCCGGGTCCGCCCAAGTAGGTTCCCTGCGGATTTGACCCGCGGTTCTCGGGTTCCCGGGGCTCCTCCTTCCGGTGGGGGTGGAGGGTGCCCCGCTGGGCAACACGTTGGCGACCTAGGTGATTTTTACGTGTAACTTAACAATTTCCGAAATTCTCAAACCCACAGCTGGGCACTTAGGCAGTTGTTAAGCTGATGACCATGCTTAATAATTCCCAAACTAGGTACAGGAGGTGAGTGTTCTCTGAAAGTAAGCCTCCCTCATAGTCCGTTCTCCGGTGTTTCGGATAGTAATCGTTTCTCGGCTACCACCTGTTAAGCCTCTGTAGGGAACGATGGCTCCTATAAGGTTGGCCGGGCATAGGTAAGATAAGACAGAGGGGGAAGTACTCTTAGTGCTTTTACAAACCTGGCACCCAGAGGAGAGCACAGAATGTCCAGGTGACTGCCCTGGGCCCCTTGGTGGGCAGGGAGGGCAGGCATTTTGCAGGCTTCCAGCAGTGTCGCCACTGGATGGTCTGCTTTGGTGGGGGTCCCCGAGTCTTCTGGGTTGTAGCTGCCTTTTAAGGTAGCCTCCTCTGGGCTAGGCACTGACAGGACGTAACTGTTCCATTTACTCCTCATGCCAGTCCTGCCAGGCAGACATCTTAATCCCGCTAAGAAGTAAGGGGTTAAAGCTCAGAGAGGTTGAGTGACCTGACCAAGGTTTCCATTGGAAGGCGACCGGCACTGGGGCTTCAGTTCCTGGCCTGCACCAGCTGACACCCTTAGTGTCCACATTTGTGACCATCGGGCAGCACTGGAGCGGCCTCGAGGAGGGTCGGCTCCTACACCTGCGCTCCGTTGGCCGCGGCTGAGCCCCTGGTCTTACCCCTCAGTGTGGAGACGATGCCAAAGCTGCAGGGCTTCGAGTTCTGGAGCTGTACCCTGGGGGGGGCCCGCCACGTGGTGGCCCCCATGGTGGACCAAAGCGAGCTGGCCTGGAGGCTGCTGAGCCGCCGCCACGGGGCCCAGCTGTGCTACACACCCATGCTGCACGCCCAGGTCTTCATTCGAGATGCCAACTACCGCAAGGAGAACCTGTACTGCGACGTGTGCCCCGAGGACCGGCCTCTCATCGTGCAGGTGGGCGGCCCGGCCCAGAATGCTGGCCGAGCACCTCTCCCTGGGCCTTTCCGGAAAAGGCTTCCTGAGATCGGAGGGGCGGGCGTGGGCAAGTTCTCCCAGAGATTGACCTCTTCCTGGGAGCTGCCTCAGTCTTCTGGTGAACGGACGACCTGGGTGCAATGGAAGATTCGCAGCCCCCTCCCCAGCATCACCCCAAGCGCTCCCTCTTTATCAGAACAGTTAGAGAGAATGGCTCTGCTCTTCGCAAAGTCAGTGATACTGGCTTTCTGCTACAACTGGGAGAACTGTGTGAATTCATAACTCGCTCTCCTGGTGGCATGGGTACGCATCCCAGCTTGGTTAAATTGTAAACATCTAAGATAGGATGCCATCCTGTGGTCATCCCCTCGGGCAACACCCCCACTGGCCATCTGTCAACCCCTGTGGGACTGCCTTGGGCTCATGGTAACTTCCATGTCTCTTTCAGTTCTGTGCCAATGACCCGGAGGTGTTTGTCCAGGCAGCTCTCCTGGCTCAGGACTACTGCGACGCCATCGACCTGAATTTGGGCTGCCCGCAGATGATAGCCAAGCGAGGTGAGTTCCCGTTCTGGGGTTCTGTGTCGTTGCACAAGCTTTTGGCTGGGGCAGGCTCCAAGCCCAGAGGTGCCCAGTGTGTGGCTGAGCTGGCTAGGGGCCTGGCCCTACCTCTGATGGCAGCAGCTCAGGCGGCCACCGGCCCTTTCTTTGCTCCTCCTCCTGGAGAGCGGCCCTTCTCAGGCACTGAGGGCGGGGGGGCAGGGTTCAGCTGGCTATCAGGGGCTATGTGTTTTGCTGAAAAGTCCCCACCACGCCCTCGTGCTGCCTCAAGGACCAGTGGCTGCTGCCCTTGCATTTCAGCCTTTCTCCCTCACTGGGCCTGAGGAGTTGCTGGTTGTTCAGAGACCGTGTGGGGTGGGCATTCCATTCAGCACCCTTGAGCTCGGGCCGCTGGGCTAATAGAACCTGGCCAGGCAGCTCGAGGCCCACGTGGACTCGAGAGGGGGTTGCGGAGGGCATGCTTGTTCTTCGCAGGTCACTATGGCGCCTTCCTGCAGGAGGAGTGGGACCTTCTCCAAAGAATGAGTGAGTTGGCCACACACTACCTGCGGGGACTTGGGGCCACGTTGTGGTTGGGTGGCAAGCCTGAGACAGCCTGGCAGGGTTCAGGAGAGGACAGTGGCTGGCAGAGTCCTCTTGGCTGTGGCACCCCCCGTGCCTTTCCACCGTAGAAGGTGGCTGTGAAGTCACCTGTCCCGCTCCTGCTGCCCCCCCCGTCGAGCCAGATAGTAGGTGCTGGAGGGTGGCATCCTCGCCCGCCCGGTCCTGGCCTCTCCAGTGCCCTAGGATCAGAGGTGCAACTCTCAGCTGCCATCGAGAGGGAGCCAGCGCGGGGCATCTGCAGGGCCTTTGCTCCTTTGGGGGCTTAGGCATGGGTCCCCACAGCCTGCCTGAAGGTGGCACCACAGTTCTCTCAGGAGTTGACTCTGCCTTTCCCTAGTTCTGCTAGCCCACGAAAAACTTTCTGTCCCTGTCACATGCAAGATCCGTGTCTTCCCAGAGATTGACAAGACCGTAAGGTACGCCCAGATGCTGGAAAAGGCTGGCTGCCAGGTGAGGGCTATGGGCTCCCAGGGCCCTGCACTGTTCCCCCGCCTCCAGGAGTGCCCCTTGAGGGTTTATCCTCTGGGGTGGGCAGGAATCAGTGACCTTTAGGCGAGGCCTGACAAGGGGAGGGGAGCCCCATGCTTGGGCCCAGGAGGCCAGTATTGTGCAGGGGGTGGTGCTGGGCCTCAACCACCTTCTTCCCACCCACCCCCACCAGCACTGGGGTCAGGCTGGTGCCTGTTCCTCCCTCACACCTTTGGCCTTGGGCAGCGGGGGTGCTGCCACTACAGAGAGGACTGGCCCTTGAAAGGGTCTGGGCCTCTCACCTCCACATCCTGGGTGGTGTAGTAGGCTGGCTCTGACGTGCAAGCCCCAGGCAGCCCCCCCAGGGTGTCAGCTGGCCTCAAGTGCAGCACGGAGTGAGCGAGGCACAGGGCGGCCTTTCCTCTACTCTGCATGGGAAGTTGATACCCTAAAAGCCGAAGGCAGAGGGTCCCCTGGAGTTGGTTTGGGGGCCACAGTTGAGAGTGGGGCTGAGCCAGGCGCTGCTGTGTCCTAGTTACTGACTGTCCACGGGCGCACCAAGGAGCAGAAGGGGCCCTTGTCGGGCACCGCGTCCTGGGAGCACATCAAGGCTGTGCGGTGAGTGGACACAGGGTGAACCCAGGGCAGGGAGACAGCCCAGCCCCAAGGCAAGGCCCTCAGCCCTTTGGGCACCAGGAGGGGTGCTGGGCCTGGGGGTGAACAGCACAGTGGGAAGATGGAGTATGGGGGCCTTGCCCTCCCCCCAGGGTTGTGGGAGTAAACAGCATCCTTCTGAGCGTCTGCCCATCCTGTTCCCCGACAGGAAGGCAGTGGCCATCCCCGTGTTTGCCAATGGCAATATCCAGTGCCTGCGGGACGTGGAACGCTGCATCCAGGACACGGGGGTGCAAGGGGTCATGAGTGCAGGTGAGGCTGTGCCCTTGCCCACAGCTGGGCCACCACTGGCAGATGCTGGAGGGGCCTGTTTGCATCATGGCACCATTGGCCCAGCTGCAGAGCCTCAGGCTTCACGCTGTCATCACTGAAGTCTCCATCTGCCTGATGGGCCAGAGCTGTCAGGCCAGTGGCCAGCCTTGCCCTTGGAGTGCCGAGGCACGGGGGCCCCTGAGCCTTGCATTGCCTTCCTCCTGCAGAGGGAAACCTGCACAACCCTGCCCTGTTCGAGGGCCGCAGTCCTGCCGTGTGGGAGCTGGCCGAGGAGTACCTAGACATCGTGCGGCAGCACCCCTGCCCTCTGTCCTACGTCCGGGCCCATCTCTTTAAGCTGTGGCACCACACGTGAGTTGCCCCCCCGCCCAGGGCAGACGCTGTCTGGTCTGAGGCCTGCCTGGAGCATTGGGGTTTGTTATGTGTTTTTTCCCTAAATTTTTTATTTATTTATTTTATTGATTTATTTTTGGCTGCGTTGGGTCTTCGCTGCTGCGTGTGGGCTTTCTCTAGTTGCGGCGAGCAGGGGCTATGCTTTGTTTAGGTGCGCAGGCCTCTCATTGCGGTGGCTTCTCTTGTTGCGGAGCACAGGCTCTAGGCGCGCGAGCTTCAGTAGTTGTGGCATGCGGGTTCAGTAGTTGTGGCTTGCGGGCTCTAGAGCGCAGGCTCAGTAGTTGTGGCGTACGGGCTTAATTGCTCCACAGCATGTGGGATATTCCCACGCCAGGGCTCGAACCCTTGCCCCCTGCATTGGCAGGATTCTTAACCACTGTGCCACCAGGGAAGCCCTGCATTGGGGTTTTTAAGACGAGCTCTCCACATTTACAAAACCACCTGCCACCGAGTCTGGGAGGGCCGCGGTGACATGGTGAGGTTGGGTGGGAGGAGAGACCATGCTCCTCTGTGCCCAGGGCTCAGGGTTGGTGGTTGGGAGCTGGGTGCTGGGTTGGCTCTGTGATGGGGCGTCTGCATCAGGCTGCAGGTGCATCAGCAGCTTCGAGAGGAGCTCGCCAAAGTGAAGACCCTGGAGGGCATTGCCGCAGTGAGCCAGGAGCTGAAGCTGCGGTGTCAGGTAGGTGCTGGGCTGATGTGTAGTGGGAAAGAGGCTTGGGCCTTGGGCCTCTGACCGAGGGCCCTCTGGGCTTTTGCAGGAGGATATAGCCAGGCAGAAGGAGGGAGAGAAGCCTTCAGGCGGCTTGCCTTTCTTCCACTGGATCTGCCAGCCCTACTTCCGGCCAGGGTGAGCCTCCCGCATGTGGGCTGGCAGGGGGGTGGGGGGATGCGAGGGGGTTACATGGAGGAGGGGGCTGTTCTGCCTGCTGCCCCCCTTGGCTGGGGTGCTTCATCCCTCAGGGGCCCGGGGCCTCTTCCTTGTCAGCCTGTGCTTAGGTTTTAAATGGCTTCTCTAAGCTCCTCTGATCCTGAGTGGGTTTGTTCTGGGGTCAAGAGGTTGACGCTCCCTAGCTTCCTCTGGCTTTTCTGAGGTGAGGCTAGGCTGTCATCTGTAGCCACAGCCCCGCCCAGGACTCAGTGGCTCAGACACTGGTGTCCCAGGCTCCCAGCCGGCTGCTGGGGCCTCAGCGGAGTTGCACACACATCCTCACCCGGGCACTGCAGCTGGCGGGCTGCCTCTCACGAGTGTCCCCCAGCTCTGCCCACTGCTTCTCCCTTTCAGGCCCAGGGACGGGAGCAAGGAGAGCGGGGGTGCCCGTAGCAAGCGGGCCCTGGAGGAGGAGGAGGGCAGTACAGACGTCTTGTCCAAGAACAAGCAGAAGAAGAAACTGAGGAACCCCCATAAGACCTCTGACCCCTCGCTGAAGCGTAAGATGCTCCCACCACTGGAGCCCTGGGAGGTGGCCAGCCCCCGCCCTGGGTCCCCCAGGGTCAGGTGGCTCTGCTGCTTCCTAAGCCATGGGGAGTCCACCAAGAAGGGCCCTGTGACCCTTCCACGTGCCCCCAAGGAGACTGGCAGGTCCCACGAGGCCACAGCCAGCCTCCCTGCCTGCCGCGGTTCCTGAGCTGCTGCTGCCCTGAGGCAGCTGGAGAGGAAGGGAGTGGGGCCTGGGGCGGCTTTCCCAAGAAGGACCTTCAAGTGGGAGGTGGTGGGCATGGAGCCCGTGCATCTCGGGCAGATGGGATGAGATTTCCCAGCACAATCGTGAGTACTACATCCTCTGCCCTCTGCAAGCCACCTGGCCTGGCCAGCTGCGGGGAGCAGGGATAGCTGCCAGGGGCCACATGTAGGAGATGGCTGTGGTGGGTGGGCTCACCTAGTTCAACCAGCACCTCCTTTTGCTCTTTTCCCAGCAAAATATGCAAAGTGTGATCAGTGTGGAAACCCAAAGGTGAGTCCGTCCTTCTAGCCACACCACCCAGGGCAGAGCTCAGCCCCAGGACGGGTGGGGACCTGCGCAAGAGGTCCTCTTCCTGTCTGTTGTGGGGGCAGCCTGGGCACAGCCCAAGGTGGGTTGGCTTCTGTCGTGTAAGGGGCCCTGCCTATCTTCAGGAGAGCCCCACCTGTGCTCGGGGCCCACTCACTCAGGCTGCAGCCCGGCCAGGGGAGGAGCATTAGCCCCAGGCTCACACGCTTTCCTGCGTCCAGGGCAACAGGTGTGTGTTTAACCTGTGCCGGGGCTGCTGCAAGAAGCGAGCTTTCAAAGAGACGGCTGACTGTCCAGGTGAGGTGCGCCCGCTGCCACCAGGCGCCCGCCCGCACTGTAGTGGGCAGTGGACCCTCAGCCTCCTGAGCCCCATTTCCCTCCTCTTGTCCCTTTGCCAGGTCATGGACTGCTTTTTAAAACCAAACTGGAGAAGTCTCTGGCCTGGAAGGGGGCCCAGCCGCGGCTGCAGGAACCACAGCAGGCCAGGCCTGGAGAACCAGGTGGCTTCCCGGAGGTCATGGGCAGTGCCCTGGCCTGAAGGGCAGCTGCAGCCCCATGTGCCACCACCCCCCCCAAGGCCCGCCGCTGAAGCCTTGAAACGTCCCACTTAAGGAAACTCCTTTACTCAGGGAACCTCCTGCTGCTTCACACGGAAGGACAAGCTGGTCTTCCCTTCAGCCCATGCTGGGGGCCCAGAGATGCTGCACCAGGGAGCAGGCTCCCAGGCTGGACCTGCCCCATCCTCACAACCCACGTGTGTTCAAGATGAACAATAAATCATTTCAAAGACACGACATTCCCACTCAGGTTCTTTAAGACCTGAGTGTCGTCGGGGTCAACAGGGCCCTCACAACAGGGGGATGAGCAAGGTGCCGCCTGCCTTCATCTTCTTAACCATGGACACCTGCTTAAAGGAGGGCCATGCACTGGCCTCAGCCCTGCAGAGCCAAGTGGAACGTGAGAAAGGGGAGCCCAAGGAGGTGGGGACTGGGCCAGGGGGCCCCATGGAGACAGGAAGGAGTGGTGCAAGAGCCTGTTCTCAGGCTGCCCTTTAATGGACTAAGAGTCAACAATGCTACAACCCCAAATGACACAAATGGAGGCTGGGAGACAGTGCTGCCGGGTGGGGGCCCCGGGCGCCATGTGCGTGAGCCCAGCAGGCCTCTCCTTCCAGGAAAGTCCATCTCCTCCCCAGCGCCCCCAGCACAGGGTGCAGCAAGAGGGAAGGGGGACACAAGAAACTGGGCACATGGAAGCCCAGGCAGGGGGCTGAGGGCTAGCGTCAGCCAGCAGCCAGGCCCCTACAAGTGGGCCACAGGCAACACCTCTGGAAGTGCTGCTGGAGCAGATGGGAGGCCCAGGAGTCCAAGGGTGGGGGGCGGGGCAGGGTGGGAGGTGTGCAGACCATCCTGGAGGCCAAGGGTGCCCTCACATGTTGGTGCTCATCCGGGACTGGCTGTTGGCTGGCGTCAGCTCCCCTTGGCTCCCTTCCCGGGGAGGGGACTGCAGTGGAGACAGCCACTTAGCCCAGAGGGGCGCGTGTGCCCATCCCACCCCCCCAACCCCAGGGCCCCCCTGCCCACACCTTGACGTGGATCTGGTTGCGTAGCACAGCCGCCCTCAGGATCATGGCTTTGGCGCGGCGCTGGAACTCCTTGCCCATCAGCAGGGACTTCTCGAAGGTGGTGCTGCGCTGATCCACGTCCCGGGCATATAGGATCTGTGGAGGTGCAGGGCTCAGTGGGGCCCAGGGTCTCCCTCCCACACCCCACAACCCTGAGGCTGGCCACCTTGCTGTGGGAGTCGATGCGGGCATTGATGAGCCCCTCCAGGATGAGCTGCGTCAGCTCATCCTCCAGCGCCGCCACTGTGGTGTTGAAGGCCGTGGCCATCTTGCGCATGTCAGCTGACACATAGGGGCTGAAATACTGCAGAGCAAAGGGGACATGAGCTACCCGCAGACACATCCATAAGCACCCTGCCTTGGCCTCAGCTTCTGCCCCTGCGTTTACCTGGATGAGGGCCCGGTTGCGAATCTGCGTGTACAGGGTCCTGACGTGGGGGGCCAGATACATGTCTAGGAGCAGGTTGTCCTGGTGAGGAGAGCCAGTCAGGGACAGCTGCCCCAGGCCTTCTGCACTCACCCACCCCCCCAAGCCAGGCCAGGCCCCTCACCTTCATCTCGTCCAGCATCTTCAGGCACGAGGCATACTTGGACTCATAGAATTTGAAGATAATGTCCCGAACCTGTGGTTCCAGCTCCAAGAACAACTTGAAGGAGCTGCAGATGCCAGACTCCTCAGAGCTGGCCCTGCCTGCCCACCCGCCTGAAGGCGGCTGCGGGCATAGGAGCAGGGCTGCAGTGCCCAGGACCCCACCTTCCACCCACCTGCTGGAGATGACGTTGCGCTGCAGCTCCTGCCGGTCAAAGGTGGCCAAGGCGCACAGGCCACCGTACACGGCCACGTTGCTGGGGGAGAGCAGCTGAGGAGCAAGGAGGGAGATGGATCAGAGTCCTGGGGTCACTGGCAGGCAGTACAGAAGTCTGGGCGGGGTCCACCCTACCTCACCCACCATCCACTCAGAATGCCTAGAACCCCATGGGGGTGACCGCCCAACAGAGAGCCCAACTCTCGAGCCCTCACCCTGCTTCCCAAGCCCCAGTGAAGTTCTCCCCCCCAGAGACCCTCACGCCCCTCACCTCGGGGAAGTCGCAGTGATCGAAGGAAGCCAGCAGGAAGCACTTGGCAGCCTGCTTGTACTTGCGTGCAGCCAACTCAGCCAGGCCTGGAGGGGGGGCAGGGGGGAAAAGGATGAAGCCCGGCATCCAGAGGAAGCTGCCAGGGCCCTGTAGGGCCATCAATGGGCGCGCACCTGGGACAGAAACGCTGGCAAGTGAGAAGTAAACCCGCCAGTGAGCACCGGCAGCACTCTCCATGAACCAGGTGCCCAGGGAAGCTGAGCAGCTGCTATTCCTACTGCAAAGGGCACCCGAGCTGTTCAGCTGACGGGCTAGGGGTGGGAGCAGGGGTAACCAGCCATGGCAGCAGCTGTCAGAAGGCACTGCCTCTACTCCCAACCACTGGTCACCACTCCCTAGCCTCCCCAAGGGGGACCTGAGCCGGGTAGGTGTCAGGTACAGCATAGGTGTGGGGCTTGTGGGTTTCCCTGGCTGGGATGAGGTCACCTGGGGTGCCCTCCTGCCCCTGTGCCCCAGGGCCCTCACCTGCTGCACACTTGAGCTTGGTGAGGATGGCCTGAGTCTGGGTGTCACGTTCCCCACGCTGCTGCAGGAGAAGGTCGCACATGTGAGCAACCCCCCGCCCTCCACACCTTCATCAACCCCCAGGCACCCAGCTCCAGCCTAAGAGCAGCAGAGGCAGACTCCAGGAGGATGAGGCCCACCAGGGCCAGGAGTGGTCAGGGATCCTGGGGCAAGTTCCAAGGGGCACAGAGCCATAATTACCTCGGCAATTTCTGGGGTGGACTCGGCCTTGCTGACATAGCTCAGCACGTGAGACCAATTCTGCAAGTAGACGCTGACCTGGTGGGCAGGTGGAACGCACTCAGCCTGGGGCGCCCCCTCCTGGCCCACGGGCATTGCTGCCCTATGCCCCCCTCCCATGCCACCCACCCCAGGGCCCACCTTGATGACGTTGAGGCACATGTTAATGACGTGCTTGGCGCTGGTACAGTAGTCCCGGGCCCGGGAGTAACACTTGAGGGCGTTGCTAAGGTCCCCACAGTCCAGATAGTGGTCACCCAGGTCATCATGGCCACGCCTGTGGGTCCGGCCACAAGTGGACACCGGTCAGTCCATGGGCCTGGCTGCCCAACCCCCCACCCCAAGGGTGCACCTGATGCTCCCTCTGATGGAGCCTGCTCCCCAGCCCCCTGGGCACACCTGATGCTCTACTTAATGGAACCCACCCCCCAGCTCCTGGGCACACCTGATGCTCTCCTTGATAGAATTGCCTTTGTAGTTCTTCAGATCTGTGTCTAGCTTCTCCAGCTTCAGCAAGGCCTTCTTCCGCGTGGCCTCCACCCAGGCCGTGTCCAAGGGTGGGGGCTCCACACCACTCTCAGGGATGGCGTCCGGTGCATTCTGCAGCTCCCTGAGGGAGGACCTGGCCATTAGGGGCCCGTGTGCAGGGGGGTCAGCTGCCTCCCAGCGGCCCTCACCCCCATCGGGAGGGCGCCCTGTTGGCACAGGGGCAGTTGTGACAGCAGGAGCCCGCAGCCTGGCGGGAGAGCCCAGCGAGAAATAAGTCACACAGCCGTGCTGAGAAGCAAAAAGCACGTTGCAGTCTCCACAGGCTCTGCTCAGTGTTGGAACTGCACACGCATGCAAATGTGGAGGGAGCCTGAATTCTCAGCGAGGAGAGTGAGAGTCTAGCCCGTTGGGCCGTTTCTGCCCCTCCTGGCTTTTCAACAAGAAACCCAGATCACTGTGTCACGGGGCCAGGCACTGCAGGAGCACAGGGAAGGCCCTTGCCCAGGCTGGCCATATAGCACACGCAACCCCTGCCCCACCTCATTGAGCCCTGGCCTCACCTGGCAGCCTCCAGGAGCTTGCGGTGGATCTCCTCGTACATGTCCACGTTGAAGGTCCTCTGCACGAAGGACAGGGCCATCTTCAGGGCCTCCACCCGCAGCGGGGGACAGTGGTCAGCAATGAACTGCAGTCGTTCGATGCGCATCAGGCCACTGTAGCTGGCCGCGTACTGCTCCAGATCCTGGGGGCGGGGGTGGATTGTGCAAGCTGGGACCCTAGACCTCAAACCCCAGCCAGTGAGTCAGGAGTAGTGGCATGTGGGCACCAAATAAACCACTGTCCAGGGGATGACGAAAGGCCACTCGGGATGGGCCAGTGCAAGGGCCTCTGGAGTAAATCTCTGCCCTGAGGGGTGAACAGCCAGAGCCACGTGGGCAGCCAGTCACCAAGCTGAGCAGTGTGGAGACAGTGCTTCCCAAGCTGGGTCCCAAGGAAGACCTGCCCTCGCAGTGAGACTCGACCTGCAGGGTGGCCTGGCACACAGGGCTCCTCCGTGTGGGGGAGAAGCAGGTGCAGAGTCTGGACCCGACTAGCAACCCATTATAAGGGCGCAACTAGAAACCCTAAAAGTTTCTGAGTCAGAAAAAGATGCGGTGGGAGTGGGGAGCCTAGCCTGGACCTCCCAGCAGGACTGACACCCCCAAGCAGTCCCCGACACTCCAGGAGTGCCCGCCAGGCTCCGTACCAGGGTGGGGTTCTCCACAACGTAGTTGACATCGGGCGCGTTCTGCGGGTCTTCCTGGGGGTCCACATCAATCTGCATAGGCTCCACGGCCCCCTGCAACACGGGCCAGCACCTTGGCACCTCGAGCAGGGGACGCCCAGGGAGGGCGAGTGACCCTCACTGTGTCCCAGCTCAGCTCTGCCCTCCATCTCCCGGGCGGGTGGGATCCTGTCCCCCGAGCCCCTCCCCACTGCCCGCCAAGTCCAGCGCCGCCACATCAGGGAGGGGGCTCCTAGCGAGACTGTTGGCTCAAGAGCAGAACGCTCAGCCCGATCATGATGGCCCATCTGTGGGGCGGGAACCAGAGCCGAAAGACCACTACCCAGGGACCCCAGAGGATCCCTACGTGCTCCCAGCCACCGTCCTGACGCAGCCTCCTCCGAGCCATAGGGAAAACACGGGCGGCCTCGACCCAGGCGCGGCTGAGCAGCCGGAGCCGCAGCGCCGGGCGAGTACCGCCGATGGACCGGGAGGCGGGAGGGGGGCGCCCGGGCGCCCTGCGCGGCCCGGCGGGCGTGCGGGCTGGTCCCGGCCCCTGTCCTGGAAGGTACCTCATAAAGCAGCGTACAGGCCGACAGGCTGGCGCTCAGGCTGAAGTCCCCGGCCGTGCCCGGCAGGAAGAGCTCTGACCTACCGCTGGGAGGGGCGCAGTGCACATCTGCCACTGACGACGCGGCCGCGCGGGGGGCCGGGCCACCCCGCATTCTGTCCTGACTCTCTGCACCCCCCGACCCTGACACAGAGCTGGCTGGCTGCTGAAGGAGAGAGAGCGTTAGCGCGCCGGGCCTGCCGGGCTGCCGGGGCCGACGGGCGGGACGCTGCGGCCGGAGCCCGGGCGCAGGGAGGACGCCGCGCGGGG